AAATCCGTCGGACATTGACATACTGACGGATTTCCGACGGAATTCTGACGGATTCCGGTTATTTCTTTTCCGTCGGAAATCCGTCAGTATTTCCGACGGAATTCCGACAGAATTTTATTTCCGACGAGATAGAACCGACCGGTCAAAACCGTCGGAAAGRVGTCYGAATAAYDCCTATTCCGYCGGCTTTCCGACGGTTTTCACCGTCGGAAATTTGCCTGTTTTCTTGTAGTGATAAGAATAGAGAGATAGGTTTGTGTTTTGGATTTCATGGTGAAGATTTTGGTGACGACACAGGCTCAACTTCAGCAGGGATGCAAAAGAAGACAACGTCGGGTATGGAGATGTAACCAGATCCTTGTCCCATTACGGTAAACAATATGGTGGATGATTCTCCAAACACCAAACAATCTAGTTAAGAAAACATCAAACAATTTCCAAATGCGTATAAAAAAACTATAATTATGTTATCTCTTTTCGATTCACCGGAGGTTTTGTTCAACTTTTGTTTTACGGTTTTATCTGATGGAAATTTTGATTTAATTAGAAATAAAATTAATAGTTTCTCTTATTTATAGTACATGAAATATGAAGTGATTCTAAACCACTTCGATATCGATAATTACTATTTGAAAATAAATTTGTCTGTTTGAAAATTTGTTATCTACATATATTTAGTATTGAATAAATTATATTATTTAAATAACCGATAAACATTTTGAGGATTAAAAATATCAATTATTTTTCAGTTTGTTTCAATAGCATGATTCTTTATCATTTTCTCGACTTCTTAATATTCATCTTATGTTTTTTTTTATATTTTTCATCTTTAACAATTGATTATTTCTTGTATATTATTATTACTTATTTTTCAATCTCTTTCAATAACATGATTATTTATCATTTTCTCGTCTTCTTTATATTCATCTTATGTTTTTTTTTTCATCTTTGACAAATGATTTTTTTTTTTGTATGTTATGATTACTTATTGTTTTTCTTCTTCTTTATATTCATCGTATGTGGGTTTATTTGTTTTTCATTTACAATTCTTCTTTGATTACGCTTCATTTATTTATCATTTTTGAAATAACATTTTGAAAAGAACCTTTCAACTAATTCGACTATTAATAGCATATAGATAAATATATATTGACCTTAATTTCAAAAATACCACATCTTATATAAAATTAATTATTAAATATTTAATTTATTATGTAAATAAAACTAATTAAATGAAGCAATCGCTGCATCATTGAGAAATACAAATAATTATCCAGAATTGAATTTGAACCTTTAATCTTAAAAGCAAAAGAATGAAAATATAGAGTTTTCAAAAATACCACAAAACAAGTAATAGCAATACTAAGAAACATGTGTAATCCGCTTCCTATTAAAAGAGAAGTAGATTTATTAGATTTGCTTATTTGTTATAATTTCATTGGTTGAAAACTATGATGTGGCTTGTCAAAAAGATGACATGGCTTGTCAAAAAATATGACATGACTTAAATTGAACTAGTTTGAACTAATTAATTAAAATAATAAAACTAAAAAAATTCTTATTTGATTTAYTTTTGCAAACTAATAAAACTAATTAAAATAATAAAACTAATWTGAAATACGTTATATTTTACTTTTCTTCTCAATTCCAATCAAATATTTGATTTTGCAAATTACATAGTTCGATTCAAGTTGCAATCTTTATAAACAATCATAAAGCTTTTTATTTTATAAAGAAGAATCAAACAATCATAAAGCTAATAACATGAAACTATCAGAGGAGAAGATTTAGTACCAGTGCTTCGTTCCAATTGTTCGCTGAATGAAATAACAGGAATCTCATACACGAAGAATATGCATGTGGTGGGAACTAGAATCCTACAGAATTTGTATATTAAATCATTCGTTAT